TTCTTGTTCATTGCATCAATAACTGTCTAACATCTATCTGATCCTCTGCTGTTCCCTTTTCCTTTTGCTTTCCATCTTTCCCTACTTCAGGGTCTTTTTGCAATGAGTCCTCTCTTCTCCTTTGGTGGCCAAAATATTGGAGCTTCAGCTTCAATTTCTGTCTTTCCAAAGAACAATCAGAATTGATTTCCTTTAGGATTGACTGATTTGATCTCCTTATAGTGCAAGGAACTCTCCAGCACAAAAAAAAGAGTGCCTGCTCATTTAATAACATTAAATCATGATCCGAATACAACAGCAAGCAAATGTGAAACAGAAAAAGGTTTTATCTAGAATTACCCTTGATTTCTTGCATTTGAAAGCAAGATAGATTTGTTATGGACACAAGGACTGCTTCAAATTAAATACAGGCCATGTTTTGGGAATAATGTCTATGTGTCGGATAATAAATTAAAACAGGTAGGAACTGCTCAGCTTCCAGGTGCTCAGGTAAATGTGACTTTAGGGGACCGGGATGGGGAATGTTGTAATAAAACAGCAGAAGAACATGACGAGGGACTGAGCTAATGAATCATTGGAAACCTAAGAGCCACGTGGCTTTATGCATTAAGGATCATTTTTAAAAACCCTTCAGTTTAAGTCTTTAAATTAAACTGCAGTTGTTGGTTAACCCAACCATGGAAGTTAGTTACAAAGTCTCAGAGGTTGAAAATACGAAGAGATTGCTTGATGTCTTTTTGGAGAGTGTAACAATGAGAGTTTATAACCTTACAGTCTATTTCTGCAGTTCAGAATGTAAGGAAGGGAGAAATTCTGAAACACTCAAGCGGGAGAAACATTTGGGAATGTAATAGTAGCTTTATTATGAATCCTAGGAACTGTATCCAACAGCAGATAGAGGAAATAAACTTTAATCAGGTCCTGAGTAACCAATTTCTCCACTGAAATCACCAGAAGTAAATGTCTAAAACAGCAAAACAAGGTACAATAGCAGGGAAGATAGATGACTGGGCTATGAAAGAAATGTAATTGGACTGGCACTGAAATCAAACAAAATCATGTTTAGTTTTTTGGTCATTTTTTGTCCTGATTCAATCAAAATTAGGGAAGTACAGTTCACATAATCTTACTTCAAGGATTAGGGTAGGCTTTATCTTGAAAAATGCTACATATTCTTGAACTATAAGATTACAGAGACAAAAAGACACGAGTTCATTTTTTTCTTCTTCCATGAGCTACCTTACCTAGAAAAAAAACATATTTTTGAGCAGTCCCAATTACTTAATGTAGAAAGGATCTAACTTTCTCAATTAGAATAACTACTGGAATATCTATTTCCAAAAAAAAGAATTTCTTCAAATCAAAGGGTTTGCACGAGTCTTAGATGCAACCTCAAAATTTCTCTTTCTTACCAACACCAAGTACTATAGTATAACACATCAGACTCCCAAATTCCCTTTTGGCCTAGACTTGTATTCGAGTCTTGATACACCTTTCAAACTCTAGATTGAGGCATTCTGGAGAATTTTAAAAGTTTGCACTTTATTTCATTAATATATATTACCCTAATGTAGAGGTTAGAATTTATCTAAATTAGTTCAGACTCTTCAGCACATGGATATGTGATAATAAAGATTTGGGGGTTCCAAATGATTAATTACTCTGGACAGTGATTCTAGCTTTTGCTTACAGATCAATGTAATGGCATCATCCTTTTTATATTCTTCTCCCTCTTTCTAATATGAAAGTGGTAATGAATAGGACTTATTTTTACTATAGTTACAATTATCTAATCAAGAAGAACCATAAAATAGTTGGCATATTACACCATCTAAAGAAGAATGAGTTCTTAATAATAAAAAAGCAACATGATACATTAAGGCTTGTTCATTGTGGAGGTATGTTTTCAATGAATTGTTACACTTCAGTCCCCTGAGGAGATACCTTCACATATATCATAATGTCTAATTATATTAAAGTGGGAACAATGGAAGAGTTATTAAATAATAGATTATATTATTCCCAGTGTGAGCTAAATATTGGTACAAGTTTTCTTGTTGGTGCCCAAGTTTGTTTTTGTGTAGTCTCTATTTCCTTTCCTTTCCTTTCCTTTCCTTTCCTTTCCTTTCCTTTCCTT